ACTGTGCAAAGGAAGCCTTAGCTTTCTTTTTTAATTAAAAAAAAAAAAAAACATACACACAAGAGTTACAGGAAGTCATACAAACAGTACTTTGAGTAGTCTCAGACCTTTGATCAGTTTCACTAAATAGTTACAATTTAAGAAAATATACAAGACCAGGAAATCCCTGTGTATCCACAGCTCTGTGCTGTTTATCCCAGGTATTGATTAATGTAACCATCCCTGAAACCAAGACCTGAACTACACCACCAGGATCCACTGGCCAGCCTCTACTTCCCCCTCCCCCGCTCTCATCCTAGCTAGCACTCATCTGTTTCTTCTCTCTGGTTTTATGATTCCTAGTCTCTGCCAAAGTAGGCAGCCTCTGATCCTGGGACCCACGGAGGCACGCGTCCGTGGAGGCAGACAACCCACACACCTGGGCCCCACAGCTCAGTCTGCACCTGTCCTTCTGGGGCCTGGCTCATCTCGGATTGTCTGGTTTGAACTTCATGTCCATCGTTTCCCTGGGCGATCCTCCTGCCCTCCTGCTGTCGCTAAAGCCGCCTGCTCTCTGCTGCCCCCATCAGGCGGTCTGCAGCTCAAAGCAACCCGACTGCAGGATTTTAATTTGAATTTCTCCCAAGTCATACTTCCTCCATACTGCACCTACATAATTCACTTTTATTACCTAAATATAGGGCTTAATACCGGTCCCTGTTAAATTTCATCTTGTTTGTTTCAGGCATCATTTCAGCTTGTCAGGATGTTTTCAAACCCTGAGCTATCTCCTCGGACCTCAATTATCCCTTCTAACTGTCATCTAAAAATTTAATAATCCTGCTTTCTGTGCCTTCATCCACTTCGTAGATGAAATTGTTGAACTGAGCCGGGTCAGGACAGAGTGCTCTGGCGCAGTACTCAGGGGACCCCTTTCCTATTGAGATGGAGACGCGAGAGGTAAGCGCCCCCTTCAGAAGACTAACAGCAGTGCGGGGTGCATTGCCCGCCGGACTTCGCTGTTTCATCCGTGCACAGAGCTGCCAGGACTGATTTTAAATCGCCTGCTCACACGTGGACCAACCCAGAGAGTGAAGCCTCATCAGCCTTAAGTAGGAAAGGAGGTCGCAGCTCCTCTTATCCAAGTTACAGCGGCGCAGCAAAGTCCCCACCCACCTAACCAAGGCGCTCACCCCCAAATGTTCTGAGTCCCATCTCGCGTCTGCTGTCTAAATACACGCCCTCATCAAGGCTTCCTGACTGCTCCCAGCAAAACTAGCCAGCTCTTCTTGGCCCTACCATGGTTGCTGCTTGATTTGGGGGCCATGACATCTCTTTGGGCTAAAACAGAAGACAAGTTGCCCACAATCCAAGCATTGCACTTTTTTTTTTTTTTTTTTTTTTTTGAGACAGGGTCTTCCAATCCAGTCTAGGTTGACTGAACTATGTATCCTAGGCTGCCCGAAAATGCTTAGCACTCCTCCTGCCTCAGCCTCACAAGTGCTGTAGATACAGGTGTGCACCACTAAGTAAGCATTGTGCCTTTTCCCGGAAGTATGTAGCTTTTCCCCAAGGCCTCCCAGAGTTCTAAGTTAAGCCTGGGACACCGTGGGTTCCAGCAGCACCTCTGCTGGTGACGTGGAGGCCCAACCCTGCTGCTGACTCCTGTTCTCCACCACAACCTACCTGCTAGGGAAATGTCCAGCCATCCAATGTGGTGCATTGGGGATGGAGCCCCATACCTAGCCTCCTGGGAGCCCTTCTGGTCCCACATAGGATCTTGATCAAAACAGACAAGAGCAGGATGGTCTGCAGGCCACTCTGCAAAACCCAGTCCTTGTGCAGGTGGGTATTAGCAGGAAAAGGTAACTCAACCCCCGCCACCCCAGCAGCCCCTGCTGAGCAGAAGTGCCTGGTAGGTTTACCAATCATGCGGATACCACAGGAGGAAAAGGAGTTCCAGAGATTCTCTGTGTTCTAAATGAGCTCATGTTGGCTTCTAGCAATTACCTTTCTTTTCCAAGAACTCACGAGTCATCCATTTCAGTCGTTTGTTTTTGATTTTGCCAGAAATCAACATTGAAATGACTGAGTCATCACTTCCAAAGTGAGGGAAGGCACCAGGCCTGATGCATGGGTAAGAGCCACGCTGTTCCAGGCTCTGCCAGCTGGTGCTGCTCCATCACTCACCGTCAGAGTCACACACACATGTGAGCACACGCACATGTACACACAACACCCAGAGACTGTGCTTAAAAGACCTCAGAGCCCTTTTTTGTTTGTTTCATTTGTTTTGTTTGAGACAGGGTTTCACTATGTCATTCAGGCTGTGGCCTTGAACTCCTGCCTCAGCCTCCAGGATGCTGGGTTTACAGGAGTGTGCCAACACACCCAGCTTCAAAGCCCTTCAAAGACGGACTTTCTGCCTAGCACAGAGACAGACCCAATGCCAACATCCCTGACTTTTCTTCATCCCATCTTCCTTTTGCCTCTTTCAGAATTGCTCTTCCTCTGTGCAGACACCAGAAGCAATAGACATCATCATAGCTCTGTAATTTTGACTCTGGCTAAGCAGTCATTGGAAGCTCAGGGAAAGGGAAGCCTGGTGCCGGGGCAGGTGCTCAGGGCAGGCTCTGACCCATGCCGCAAACACACCTCCATCTGTCAATGTGGTCCTCTCTGCCTGGCGAGTTGATGGAGCACTGAGTGCCAGTTTGCTAATGCCCTTGTCTGCAGACACCGCAAAGACATAGGCTTCAGAGGAGGAAGAATTCCAAGGCTTGGACTCAAGTCTTTGCAGAATTATAGTAATTAAAGTTGAGTGGAGCGACATGCCAGAGCCCCTCCTTCGCCCATTATTCCTGACCTATCAACAAGGCTCTAACTTCAAGGTCACTCCATCCTCTCAAGGTGCCCTCCTTCTTTCGTTCCCACCCCTTGTCTCCAAGCCACATTTAGACACCAAGGGCCCATCCTTCCCCAGTCACTGGGTCTTACAAGATTGGTTTCCAGTAGCCAAATTGTCTGAGAGCCAGGATGGAAGCTGGATTTTCCTGACTCTAGATTTGTTCCGCTACCCTAGGATAATTTATTGAAGCCAGGTATTATGCTAAGCATTGTACATAAACCTTATCTCATCTTCACAGCAACTTTCTGAAGTATTATCCCTACTTTGAGGTGAGGAGATGGGATAATCTGTCCAAGGTCACATAGGGAGGAAGTGTCAGTGAAGGACTCAAAACCAGCACACCCGCTGATGCTAGGGAGAAGCAAATTTAGACAAATGGGGGTGCCTCAGTGAGAGGAGCCCTAAAAGCCACCTGTGGAATGTTGCAGTTTCGGGACTCCACCCATGACATCCCACAGCACACGTTCTGCACAACCCAGACAGTGAGGACCACGTGTGGCCAGCTGTCCAAAAACATCGGACCAAGAAAGAAAGGAACACTTGAGCACTGAGCTTGGAGGTTGATCTGCAAGGAGTCTGGAAAGGCAAGGAGGACTCTGGGATTGATGGAGTCTCAAGAAGGACCTGGTTGACCCACAGGTCACCCTTGAATATGGGGAGCCATGTACACAACAGAGAAGGAAGCCAGACTCCCAGATGTCTGCCCACCCCATTCCCTCAATCTTCCACCCTGTCCTGCATCCACAGGAGGCCGGACCAGACCTTGGAGAAAGCACAGTGGATTGAAGATGGTTTGTCCCCACTGAACTCATGCTAAAATTTCATTGCCCGTGTTGGGAGGTGGGGCCCAGTGGGAAGTACTAGGGTCATGAGTGGTTTAATGCCTCCCACGCAGGAATGGGTTAGCAACTGCAGGACCTCAGCCCTGCCTCCTCTTCTTCCCATGCACAAGTTGGCCTTTGACTTTCTCCATGAATTAAAGCAGTACAAGGCTCTCTCCAGAGCTGAGGCAGGCCTGGCTCCGCAATCTTGGACTTTTTAGCCTCCAGAACTGCAAGCCAAAGCAAACGTCCACTCTTCATTAAGTACCTAGGGCCAGGTGTTCTGATACAACAGGAGAAAGGGGACTGAGAAAGTGTTCCTGAGCATTGGTTCCATTCACCACACTGTTACCCAAGCTCTTTGGAAAGAAAGAGGTTTCAGCAGAGAAAAACCAAGGAAAAAAGGAGTGGGGTGGGAGAATAAAGTGGGGAGACTTGGCATTACACAGCATGAAATTGCTATGGTTTGAGTTCAAGGCTGATCCCCAGAGTGGCAGTGTGAGGAGGTGGTGGAACCTCTAACAGATGGGACCTAGTTGGGAGGTAATTAGATCACTAGGGATGTGGCCTTGGAAGGAATTAAAGAGGTGCCTGGGCCACCCCTTGTAAATTCTCAAGAATCAGTGATTATACAAGAAGTAAGCTTAAAGTCTTCTTGGATTTCTTTCTTCCTAGTTCAAGATGTGACTTTTTAAACTTGGCCAGATCTTAAACTTACTATTATGGTCGTGTGTGTGTGTGTGTGTGTGTGTGTGTGTGTGTGTGTGTGTGTGACTATTTTGCCCAGGCTAGTCTCAAATGCCTGGGGTCAAGCAATTCTCCAGCCTCAGTCTCCCGAGTAGCTGAAACTACAGGTGCCTGCCACTGTGCCTGACTCAGATCTAGAACCTCTTTAACTATGAGCTAAATAAATTTTTCTTCCTCTGGTAGTACCCTTCCTCGAGTTTTTCATTACAGTAACAGAAAGCTGCCTACTACAGGAGTAGAGGTACTGACCAGTCCTATATGCCTTTCCTTTATGGGCTTAAAAACAGCACAAAGTGTTTGCAGGGAGGAGGAACACAGCTTTCTCAAACAGCATAATGACAGCTCTCTCCACGCTGGGAACGATTGGAGTGTCATTGTCAGGTGAGTTATACCAAGTTTGTCATTGTTTTTCTTTGCAAAATGAGCATGATAATAGGATGCACCACAGAGGACGTTCATGAGAATTAAATGAGATGCAAAGTACCTAGGATCATTCCTGCCATATAATCAGCACACAATAAGTGTTAGATTTTTATTGTTGTTTTTATTTCTATCTTGATGAAAAATGTATTATTTTTACTCTGTTATAAAACTAAGAGAACCACAAGTTAGATTCCACAAATTCCATTGCTGAAATCATGTACTTTGGACAGTTCTATTACATTGGTGTTATTTAAACAAAATTTTTCCTTCTTAGGGAAGCTGGGAAGAAATACCAGCTAGGGAAGGTCCCCATACCTCCCCCTGCCTCCTGCCAAGGCAGTGTCAACACTCATAAAATGCTTTTCTGACCCAAGGTAATGGCTCCCTGCTCCTTGGCACGCACTCACTCCAAGGGCAATGGGGTAAATGTTGCTATACTTTATTAGACCCTGAAATGAAAAGGAAATGGAGTTTGTGGGGCTGAAGTGGAAGCCAAGTCCTGGCCTTCTTTTTAGGCTCCAGTCCAAGAGTGCTGGGCATGATATTTGGGGAGACTGGACACCCCAGCACACAGCAAGTCCACAGAGGACAAGGGGTTCAGAATCCTAGGGGTTTGCAATTACAGTGACATTTCACTTAGCATCAGGTGTATGTTTGTTTGGTTGGTTTGTTGTTGTTGTTTGGTGTTTTTTGATTGTTGTTGTGTCCTTTTTCCTTTGAGACAGGGTCTTGCTAAGTAGTCCAGGCTGGCTTTGAATTCATCACATACCCTGGCCTCAAACTCCTGATCCTCCTGCCTCCGGCATCTGAGCACTAAGAATACAGCTGTGCACAGCTGGGCCAGGCATGTGGGGACGTATTCTGAGGAGTGCGTCAGCAGCCGATTCCGTCACTGTGCGAACATCACTCGCTGCCTCCTGCAGACCTACGTGGTCTAGGTCAGTCACTGAGCAGCCTCTTGATGCAGTTGAGAGAGAGTAAACACAAGCTATGTGAGGCGGAGAATTTTACAGCGTCCATTTCTATAAGTGGGAGCACATGTTGTATGACCAACAAAAGTATAGTGAATGCACAATCCCCTAACATTTGGCATCATTATCAAGAATCATATACCAAATATAATTCTTAGTGCAATACTTTTATACAACTGGCAACACAAGTTTGGTGACATCAGCCTGACTGCGAAGACAAGAGTCATGTGTTGCATTACAATAGTACAACAGCTATGATGTCACCGAGTGATCAGTGCATGTGCGTGTGTGTGTGTGTGTGTGTGTGTGTGTGTGTGTGTGTGTGTTACTGGGCTTGAACCCTAGGCCTTTGTACTGAGCTACATCTCCAGCCCTTTAATTTTTTATTTTGAGATAAATTCTCCTTAAGTTGCTAAGTTGCTCAGGCTAGGCTCAAATTTATGATCCTCCTGCCTAGCCTTCCAGAATGCTAGGCTTATAGGTATGTACCGCCTTACCTGGATTAGGTAATAAAATTTTTCAGCTGTATTGTAATCTTACAGAACCATTATTTTCTGTATTTGGTCTCTCATTGACCAAAAGTGACCACATAGTCTTTGCAAAGATGACATGGTATTTTCAAAGAATGACACCAAAGTCTATTTTTCCATTTTATAAAACTTCTAGTACTCAAACCCACCACTCCCACCTTCATCCACCTCATGTGCATTTCATTCATATCCTGACCTTTCTTCTCACCCCTGCCCCTTTCCAAGACGATGCTCAGCCTGACATCAATACCACTGCTCAGGGAGGTCAGCGCGGACACATATTCTGATTGGCCAGAATCCATGCTGTTCTAGGCCTGGTCATTGACTATTTTAATAACCTGCCCTTCCTGTTTCCATATCTGCCACCCCTCACCACTATGTGCTGTCCCAAAGAGGCTGAGTCACATCTATGCTGTTTTGTTTTGTTTTGAATTTTGTCTTGTTTGTCTTGTCTTTTTTTGAGACAGAGTTTCACTGTGCAGTTCAGGCTGGCCTTGTACTCACTTTGTAGCCCATGCTGGACTCGAAATCACAGCAATCCTCCTGCCTCTACCTCCCAAGTGCTAGGATTACAGGCATGTGCGCCACCACACCCAGTCACACATCTATGCTTGACCCCCAAGGCTAGCAAAGACTTTCCTTTATAGACTAAGCCCCCACCCACCCTCCATGATTCTGGTCAAGGACTCTTCTCCTAAAAGTCCTCTCAGACCATCCATAGCCCACAATATTTCCACCCATTTTTCACCTTGTTAATGTCCCTAATGTCCCCATTGATCTTTTTTTTTTCAAACTGGAAGTTTTATACCATCAGAGGATCATGAAAATCAATCTGATGGGCCATTAAAGAGCTTCCTTTAACAAAACGGAATACAAAATATCAGAATGAGGGCTGGGGATTTAGCTCAGCAACATAAGCGCCTGCCTTGCAAGCGTGTGATCATGAGTTCAATCCCTGGTACCGGTAAAAAAAAAAAAATCAGAATGTATTGCCAGTGATAAGCACTGACGACAGTACGCACACATACATAGAGATATGTTACTTACTGATGTTAGATACGTTCCCAACTGCGAATTAGAAACCATGGGATACTAGTGCCTTCCATCCTAAATAGTGCTGTGAACCTATCTTCTGCCTGACTTCTCCATCAAGGAGAAAGGTGAGAAAGGAGCCAAGATGGAACCACTTCCTCCTGGGCTGGAGCCAGTGACACAATTGGCAGAAGTGAGGCAATGATGCATGAACAAGAGCAGGGACTGACTTCTCTGCATCCCTTTCTTCCCAGCATGATACAGCAAGAGTTCCAAAGTAGGTCTCCATGAATTGGGTGGATGGATGGCGTTGGATAGATTGCTCTGTGAAGACAAAACAGAAATCAAAGTCTCCATGGGGTACCAGGATTTCTTTCTTGCTTACATGCGTTCTGCTCGTGGTGACATCCTATAGTAACATATGTCACTTCCACTCATAGCTGTTGGTCAGGTCTAGACAATTAGCTCCACCTAACTGGAAAGAGGGCAGCAAAGCAGAGGCTCATGTTGGTAGTTAGTCTATGACAGCTACCTTCTTACTTCACTCAGCTCAACTCTGGGTGTTCAACTCTCCTCTCCGACTGTCTGCATGGTCCTGCCCATAGGACTTGTGAGGGTCTGCTATAGAGATGCAGAGAAGATGATCACCGAGTCTTAGTTTGATCACTGTAGAAGCAGACCCTGAGCCAAAGACCAGAAAGCATGCTCAATTCCACAGAGCAGCTCTGGGGAGAAGGATAACGCATCCCTCAGTACTCTACCCAATTCCTTCAGACCTGACCCTCACTGAAAAGTTCACTCTGGGAGCTTCACTTGCTATCATTTGCATCTCTGTCTCTGAGGGATTTTCTGGAAATTTCCATAGCCCACCTGAGCCAGTGTAGTCTGGGAAGACAGAGGGCTCAGCACCCCTCAGGAGTAGCCTTGAACACTGCTGATGGGAGTGGGTTGCTTCGAGCTTCTGCTCCCTCCATCCTAGGGTGAGAAGAATTTGAGGCATGCATTATCCTTCTCCCCAGAGCTGCTCTGTGGAATAGAGCATCTTCTCCATTGATGTGTCTGGCTTCATTGATGTAAAATGCTGCTCCCCTACCCTTCTTTTCTCTTGGTATTCACAGTGTTTCCCAAGTCAGCTCTGTGCTTTCCGGTCCTTGGGCAGAAGGAGGAAGAAAGAGAGAGGCTGACACGCTGGTCCATGTCAGCAAAGATGAGAGTGTCAGCACTGAGGAAGAGAGAAGGTGTTCTGGGACACATCACCTGCAATGCCCCTTTTCCCCAGTTCTGTGTAAGGTTCGGGTGGTGATTGTCTATGTGCCACTGGCCTGTGTGCTGGCTCTCTGGCCTCTCCAGGACTTCACAGTGGATGTGTCATCTGGGCCAGTAAATGCCAGAGAAGCTCTGCTGCATGAGAAGGGCCTGGGAATGGCATTTGCTTTCCTGAGTGTGATAACAGATGGATTTGCTGCTGTCTTTTCCTCCACTCCTGTCTTGAATGCAAATACGGTGCCTAAAGCCAAGGATGGCCATCTTGTGACCATCAGGTGTTGAGCACGAGGAGGAAAAGCCAACAAGCTGAGAGCAGCAGAAGGACCTGGGAGATCTGACAGATCCCAGCATAGCCGAGTAATACCTCAAGACTGCTTGCCTTCTTGTTGCTCAAGGCATCTTAGGCCCTGCGGGTTTAAGGCTTAATTGCAAAATCCTGTCCTTGAGGTCCAGTGCAATTCTGTCAACCCACATGGGAGATTTCAAACAGAGAGATGTGTGCAGAAAAAATCATAATTGTGCTGGCCATGGTGGTGCACACCCGTAATCCCAGCACTCAGGAGACTGAGGCAGGAGGATTGCAGCAAGTTTGAAGCCAGCCTGGGCTACAAAGTGAGTTCAAGACCAGACTTAGCTACATAGCAAGACTCTGTTGAAAGAAAGAAAAGGGTTCCATGTAGCTGGAGGATGGACTGAGCTTCATAGAAAAGAGCTAAAGAGGACCAGGGTAATTTAGCTCAGTGGCACAAACACCTGCCCGGCAAGCACAAGGTCCTGAGTTTGATTCCTGGTACCAAAACATAAAATAAAATAAGAATAGGGGGAAAGGAAAATCACAGAAATGCTAGGAACCAACAGGCTTCTGTGTTATTCAAAGTTCAAAGGAGCTTACATGGCTTTCACCAAGGGAGTAAGAATATTTGTATTTTGGAAAATTATTGCATCAATCACATAAAAGAAAGACTCGACAAATTATATCCTGTGAGTAGAACCTGGTACTTCTTTGTAAAATCCACAGCATCTAATAGAGTCACCGTAAAAGACTGGTTGAGGTGAATTACAATGAAGTTATTCTAATTATTTTTGTATGAGCTGTATGGTTTCAATCAGTTGCCTCTCTGAAAGGTGGCAGCGGGCGTTTCTGGCAGCCATCGCAGGTCACAAGCCAGGCAGGTTACCCTGTCTCTGACCTCGGCATCCCCACATGCACTGTGACAGTGCCCATCTGAGTCTGCAGCTGGTTCGTGGTGACTGGGATTCTGGTCCTGGGCCCCCTCCTGAGTCTGCAGGTGAGTAAAGGAAGAGGGAGGGGCATCTTGACCTGGGCACTGAGCGGCAAATGTGAGTAAACAGTTCTGCCCCTGAAAGCCTGATTTAGGCAGAAAAGTGCAGACCAAATGTATATATTTCCGTAGGTCCCAAATTACCAAGGTCCCCATCTGGCTCTTTCTCTTTATGTAGCATACATGCAAGTAGGGGATTTTCTTTTCTTTTCTTTCTTCATTCTTTCAACTATTGTTTCAAAACCAAGAATGAAAGAAGCAGAAATCAAATGTTTTCTCTGGGGTATTCATAAAGAGTGATGAATGAACCCCACCCAAATTCGTTAAGTACAGGAGAAACTCACAGAGATGAGACACTGGACACCGTGTTCATACACCCATCAGCACTCGGGCCCTAAATTATATTTGACATTTAATTAAAGCCCCAAGGCAGGGAAGTCAAGAGCAGAGCTGTTTCAGTAGTAGAAAAGGAGCCTCTCTTTGGGATAGATTCATTTATCTCCTGTCACCACAGGCATCAACAGTCACCCCTACCGCCATCCCTCTACCACTGCAGCTCCACTCTCCCACCCGGGAGAAGCACATATCAGCCTGCCTGGGCTCCACCCCACCTCCCCTGCACCCCCTTTCCACTCATGCGCTCAGGTGCTGGCACTGCCACAGTGGGGCTGGGCCTGCCCTTGGCCCATCCTGCCATCCAGAGCTGGTGTCCCTCGCGGCTGCCCATCCTCATTCCCCACTCACTGCCTGTCCTGGAGCCTGCACCAGTGTCTGTCCAAGCACCGTGCAAGCTTCCAGCACTGAGCCCTTAGCTGCCCTCTTGACTTCCTCTCCTTTTCCATCATTCCTTTTCCCTTTCCTTCCTCCCTCCCCTTGTCCCCTTCCTTCCATCTCTTGTTCCCTCCATCCATCTTTCCTGTCCTCTTTCTTTCCATTCTTTCTTCCTCTCCTCTCTTGTTTCCTTCCTTCTCTCCCCCCTTTCTTCCCCTCATACCTTGCCGTCCTCCTTCCCTCCTTCTCTTCCCTGCTGAGAAGCTCCACACTCCATCCCATAGTGACCTATAGGACACCCCTGTCCCCATGAGCGTTGGAGGACAAGGTACCCACAAGGAGCCGATACCGTGAGGTCACATGAAGGTGGCGCCAACCAGGGCACAGAGAGGTAAACCCTCAGTCTGAGAAAGGAAAGATGCAAGTGGTTGGGGCAGCTTCATGGAGGAGACAAAGTCATGCTGGGTCGCAAGTACAGAAGTTTTGGGAAAACAAAAGGAAGAGGAAAGTCACCGTAAGCATCAGGGACGCCAATGGTGTTAGATAAGGCCAAGAAGCAGGGTGCGCGCAGGGATGGGTGGGAAGGCTTTCCTGCCTGGAGCAGAGCTGGTGCTGTCTGCCCACGTGTGGCGGCAGTGGCTGGATGTGGGGTCCATTCTCTGCTGCAGACAGCATCCCCCCCCCCCGGGCCCTGCAGGGACACTAGGGGCCATGCAGTTGTGGGACTTTGCTCCAGAGATCGCCTCACGCTCCTGGCTTTGCTGGGGATGGGCTGCTGCCCTCTCCGAGCTGGACTTGCCTCCCTGTGACTGGGGAGGCTCACACTACTCCCCACCTCCCAGCCTATCTTTAGGACCGGGCCAGTGGCTCAGAGGCCATGTGTCCTTGACGCCATTTTCCTGCTCTGAGACATCAGAGAGTGATTTCCCCCAGAATGCTTCTCCTGACCCACCAAGGAGAAATTCCTGGGAACTGGAAGGGACAGAAGGGATGGGAAAGGGGAAGAAAGCAGGGAGCAGTCATTTTGAGTGAGAGGCATGAAGACTTCCGAAGCCTAATTTCCAAGCATTTGGAGAAAAGATAGCCGTGGTCTTGTGACCAGAGACTCTACAGTCTCTGCAACTCCTGGAGGCAAAGTTCTCCTTACATGATTGCAAAATGTTCCAATTGGAGAAAAAGAAGAAGGAAATCTAAAGAAAGCAATAAGATTTCAGCTGTACTAGAGTCTCTCTAACTTCAGCGAGAAAACAGAAATACTAAGCTCCTACCTTCTAGCTCAATGAAAATAAGCTTTGCCTGAAAATTCAGTTTTGGTCATAGTACTCCCAAGCTATAAAACCTTCTATGGCTCCCACTTTCCCTGAAATTGAAAGCTCAAGAGACTCAAGCCTCTCCCTACATGGAACATGGCCCACGTGGACATGGCCCTCCCCTTCCAGCGTCAGTTTATGCTGCTGGGGACTGTTTATGACTCTAGCCAGGGATAACAGACCACAGCCCCCAGGCCAAATGCTGCTGGCCACCTCTTTTTGTACTGCCTGCAGACTAAAATAGGTTTTTTACAGTTTTAAAGGGTTGAAAGAATAATACTGTGTGATACGTGCAAAAAATACAAAATGCAAGTGTCAGTGTTCATAAGTAAAAGTCTATTGAAACACAGCCACACTCGTGTTTACCATCTTGGATTGCCACTTTTAAAAACGCTGCAGACAGCGGCCGCAATGGGAATTCACTTTCCCCCAGTCCCGGGGTCTCTCTTCTTGTCTTGCAGGTGACTGCCTCTCCACCTGTCCTCCGACAGTCTTCCCCCTGTGTGTGTCCATGACCCAACTGCCTCTTCTTTGCAAGACACCAGTCACACTGGACTAGGTCCAGCAAAGTGGCCTCATTTAAATTTGAATAAGTGAGGAAAGGCCCTGTCTCCACACATTGTTGTCACATGGAGGTTCTGGGGGTTAGGACTTCAACACATAAATTTAGGGGGACACATCTCAGCCTGTGGCTGCTGCTTTCACACTGTGACGAAAGAATTGAGACATGTGACAGAGATCATGTGGCTCACAAACACGACTGTAGGTCATGTTTCACTACTTATAGTCTGTTTCCTATCTGGACTTCTTAAAGGCTGGCCTTCACCCTAGACAGGGGTCCTCAAACCCCGGGCTGTGACCAGTACTGTCCTAGCTCTTAGGAATGAGGCCACCCTACAAGCAATGTGCTGCATTTCATCCTTGCTTGATTATCTGTGTTCTGCCATCTCCTGTCACGTCAGCATAGATTTTCTTTGCTTTTCTTTTCTTTGGAGGGGAACAAGGTCTCACTATGCAGTTTAAGCTGAACTTGGGCTCACTTCCTAGCCCAGGCTGGCCTCGAACTCTCAGTGATCCTCCTGCCTCAGCCTACCGAATGCAGGAATTATAGGTGTGCACCACAGTGCCCAGTTTCAGCATAGATTTCCATACATGCTTGAACCCTACCATGAGCTGCAGAGTCTAAGAACCTAAATTATCCAGAAGCCACCCTCACCCGCCCCATCTCACCCCATTCGGTGGGGGAAAAATTGTGTTCCCAGTGACAGAAATATTGGGACTGCTGTCCCAGATCATCGCACTCACTGTAGGCTCCCCAAGAACTGTTTCTCAAGCTCTTATTTCTAA